GATATTTCTCTGCTTTAAAAATCTGTAACTCTGATCCTGAAAAAACAAGTCAAAACTATGCCATTGATAATGATGGAATAAATTAATCCTTTTCAAAAGCAAAATCAAACAAATAGGTATTGGGATTTAATTTGTTTCAAATAGCAGAAAAAAATATTTTTTGAAAATGATGGTAAGTAATTAATATACTCCATATAAGTAATTAAAAAAATACTTCAAAATCACAGTAATTCTGGAAATTTATCACAAAATTTGGTAACTAATGTGTTTCTAGCCTCACATGAAGATCACTTATTTCACAGCCAGTGATTTTCAAACTTTGATTCTACTAATGTAAAATTCGAAGAGATACTAAAAACCCACACACATAAAACTTACTATTTCTCCAAGTCCTTACGTTGCGTAATGTGTAAATTCGATCAAGAAGTACTAGTTAATGCATCATCTCTTAATTTCTCAAGTTTGTTTAAAAGTTAAAGCATAGTTTTAATAAAAAGAAATTTTACTTTTTCCTTGTATGACAGCATCAATGTAGTCATATATGTAACTATAAATAAGAAGTAATCATATAATCACAGACAAAGATCAATTCTCTCTAAAATTATCAAATTATTGTTGGCATCAGCTGCCTCATAAGTATTCCCTTAGGATTTTGTAGCGAGAAACTCTATTTCTCGGTATTCTATTCAAGTTCCATCCTAATCTATACATACGAGTTGTTATTGATATTTCAGCAAATTTCAATGCAGAAAAAAACATCCAGGAAAACATTTTTATCAAATTGTCATCAAGCACATATCATTTTGTGACGGATCTATACGGTTTCCTCTAACCTCCTCAATATTTATTTAAAGTTTTATTTATTTCAACCAATCTCCACCGGGAGCCAAGGCGTGATTTATGCAAATGAGATATATTATATAAGTTCGGGTTTAGCGAGTTAGCAAAAAAAGTAAAGTGAAGAGTTAGGAGAGTGAAGTCAAATGAATTAAAACATCGTAGATCACCACGCAGTGGTGGACAGTATTAGTTAGCAGTTACGTGACGAGCTACGCCGGAGAGCAGTAGATTGAAATTGGAAAAGATTCTGTATGACCGAGTGTGGATCCTTATCTATTAGCCTATCCTGCCAGTAAGAAATTCATCACCACGACGGAACAGCCGACGTTAAAAGGATAAGGTTAGTGATTTAGAATATTGTAAATACGTGTACGTGTTTTAGCTATAATTGTACGTGTTTGATCTTTCGTGGATTCAGTCGCGATTCCGTAGTTCCGCTAGTAGTAACTCCTTCTCATACTCCACTGTGTTTCATTTCTCTTAAATTTGAATCGTGTGATTGCGGTCTTCCTGTGATTAATAAGCATCAATAAATATAGTGATTTGCAACTATGTCTCTTGATTTCTCTAATCCGCCTACACGACCAGAAACATTTAATGGTAGACGGGGAGATGATAATCTGAGAAGAGGGTATAATTCACGAAAATTTGATCAAAAAAAATTTGAAAATTAATTTTTCACTCTAAAAAATGTAGTTATTAGCTCAAATCGTGAATTTGTATTGACACATTGATGACCACGGTCATTATGGTCGTTTAAAAAATTGTGTCTCTCTGTTATTCTGTAATAAACCATTATAAATAAGTCACACGTTTAGAAAATTGTAAAAATGGTAAATGGAATCTATGAGTATTTCCAATGATAAAATTAGTAATGATAATAATAAAGGAAAGGATCACTTCATTTTTGCAAGCTTCTATTTAACTTGCAATGTAATTTGTTCGGGTGGAATCTTGCAACTCCATTTTGAAGCTGATATCTTCAACCGACTGAGCTGAAATTTTGTATACACGTTTAGTTTGGATGACAAGGCATGTTTTGACCATTTATATTCCGATATTGCAATTAGTTAAAAAGATATTAATTAAATACCTTAAAATGCGTAACTGTTTTACCCCTGTAGGCTGTTTATTTCGCTGTGCTCTGCGACACAAAATGAAGAACTGTATGAGGGGAAATTTTTTTTTAGAGTTTTGACGTTTTTAAAACAGCGATCTAATTTTTCCATGAAACTTAGGCAAAAAAATAATTACAGAATCGGAAAGATCATTTATTTCGTCACGATACGGAATATATATATTTACAAAATAATAATATTTGTATTTTTTATGATTATTTTTAAAAAGGAGTCAAAATTGATGCGTTTTTTAGAAAATAATGTCTGAATCGTTGCGCATGAATTTTTTTCGTTTAAATGAATCGATATGCCGCACTAAAACAGCTCATACTTTGATCTTTTAGAATCAGTCATTTAAAAAATGAAATGCAAAAAACTTTTTTTTTACGATTTTTCAAAAAATACTCAAAATTTTAATTAAACATTTAATAACTTCGTCATTAAAGAAGATAATCTTTCGAAACTTTTTTTTCGTGTGTAGAACAATATTATCCGAAATCTGTACGAAGATTGAAAATTTGCTTAAAAATTACGGATATAAAAAAATGCGTTTTTCATCTAATACCCTTTTTGCTAGAATTCATTTAGCTAGACTTTTCGAAATTAACCGGCAAACGATCTTGCAACAATGATGCGTTGAATGAGATGAACAGACTGAGAAACCTGTCCAGCGATGGCTAAAAAGTAAAAAATAAATTAAAAGTAAAAAACCTTTTTTAAAAACAAGCTTTTATTTAAACGCGCTGAAAAGAATAAAATAAACTTTTCCTTTAAAACTTTTTTTACTATCAACTTATAACGTCATTACACAATTTATATGATCTAAAAGCTTGTCGCGAGATTTACCTCTGAAGATAAACAAGTAAATTAAATAACTTGATCTGATTGATTTTTAATTTTTAAAGTTTTCAAACTAAGTAAATTCGAGTACTTAAATCTCGCGACCAGCTTTTAGATCATATAAATTGCGTAATGACGTTATAAGTTGATAGTAAAAAAAGTTTTAAAGGAAAAGTTTATTTTATTTTCTTAGCGCGTTTATATATATATAAATAAAAGCTTGTTTTTTTTTTTTTTAAAAAAAGGGCTTTTTTTACTTTTAATTTATTTTAGTTTAAAAAGGAAGGTTTAAGAATAAGGAATCGGACACGCTTGAGTATTTATCTTTCTGTTTTCATGATATGATTTGAAATGCTCACATTATCGCAATCTAAACATATTAAAGCATTCCGAAATAATATTTGACAAGCAAACACAAGCACATGAGTATAAATAAAACTGTAGAATATAAAACAGTTTAGTCTAATTATTTACGAGTTATAATACAGAATAATGTTTATTCTTCCAGTTATTCTTTAATATTTATTTATATCTTTTTCACAATATCTGAATACTTCTAATAATACAGTACGAATTGTATTTGAATTTGAAAAGTATAATCTGTGCGTGATATTAAATTTAATTTTTCCCTCTTCAATCAGAATAACTTCATAATTTTTCAAAAGTTTTCAAAAATAAAGAAAATTTAATTTGATGTTGTTTTTAAAAGTTTTTGCATTGTGATAGTGGGCCAATATCATTTACAAAATAGTTTTGTTTTCGGTCTGTCAATCAATAACGCTCTACCTGATTTCAGAATAAAAAATAGATGTTTCATTGTTAATAAGACACGATATATGTTTCTGAATCTCCAAAATAAGATACATTGAAAAAATTCCTTTTTAATTTTTATATATGTAACTCATTGTACACGAAAATTAAACCAAAGTCAAAGCTAATACTACAATGAACACTCTTAATAATGTATCAGAAGAAAAAATATATATGTACTTGTCGTTAAAATGTTAACATATGAAAACTGCTGTATTTCGAATCTCTTAAATATTCATTTGATTTTGGCTTCGGTTCAAAATTACTCAGAAGTGTATTATGACAGTCACACAAAACTAACTTTCAAAAACGATAAAGTGGTAAAATGTGAAAAGGTTGTCTCATGAAAATAGATAGTTTCTTCTAAAGCGACAGTGTCGAAAAAGTTAAGAGGCTAAAAATAAGTTCTTTTTAAAGTGTTAAGATAAAAATTCGCCATCCCCCATTCGTTTCAACGATGAAAAAGAATTAATGTGTTGGCAACTCTTTTTCAAGTGTTTGCTCTCCCTTCAAAACTTTTTGTTTCATAGAAAAGTAATCAGAGTTATCTATTTTCCTGATTAAGGATTAGAGTAGATACCAAACACGTACACATATATAATTTCCAGGTTATATTTAGTATCACTTCTGCAACATTTATTGAAATTATTTCATTATTTCGAAAATTCCATGAGGTTATTTTTAGTCTTTTTATACATAGTAAAACTTGAATTAAATATAACAAGAGTTTTATATGTATTCACAAAATATTGTAATATATAATTAATGTAAATCACAGTGATTCTTAAGCTGTGGTCCGCAGACTTCCGGGGGTTCGCAGCGTTTTTTCTAAGGAATCCGCGAACGTCTTTCATTTAATGACAAAATTTCCTTCTTTTACAGACTCTGAAAGATCTCGTGGAAATATTGAAAGATGTTCCATCATTGGCGTAACGTACACCCCCGCATTGAGGAGGGGGCAGGGATTCTAGGGGGCCCAAAACCTGAATTTGCAGGTGGAATCCTAATATTCTCCATTACGCCACTGTGTTCCATCTAGACTAAATCACTAAATTGCCCCAATGAAAGAACTCTATCAAACCATGCATTTCGATCCAGAATATTAGTCCGGTTTTTTTCAATCCCTGCTATTAGTTCACACTCTCCCTATATATATATATATATATTATATATATATATATATATATATATATATATATATATATATATATATATATATATATATATATTGTTCAAATTTTCAATCGTTAATAAAATACTTCCTGTCCATCCCTTCAAGTTCAAATACATTTTTTTAAACTTGTAGTGGATGACACTAGATGTTACTACAGTTTTTTAAATATTAATTCATCAATTAAATTAAAAACTGAATAAATAGTACCAAACACAAAAATAATAGTCCAACAGTATATATAGAAAGGAAAATCGTTTGTTGGACTTTGGACTTCTAATCCAAAGGTTGTGTGTTCGAATCCCACCTGGGATGGCCTAATTTCTGAGATTGTGATTTTTTTAATATACTATTTTATTAGAATAATTAGATTTAATTAATAAATAAATAGTAAAAAACAAACAAAAATTAGTGCAACACCCTATATAGAGGGGGAAATGGAAAATTGCACGGAAAATCGCTTTCTATTTTGTCACTTACTATAGTGTGATTCTATCATTCGTATATGCATATTTATATTAATTGTTACTATTTAATAAAATGAAACTAAAATAAAATGTTTCTTTGTTGACCTAAGTAGGAATTGACTTTAAAAAAATTTTTATATTACTTGTTATTGTTTGCAACTACACACATAGCCCTTATAAACTACAACTTAATTTTTTTAAATTAGATTATTTCTCTTTTCTTTTCCTCTTGGAGGAAGGCCCCCGTGCATGAATGGTATGAAGGAAATCGCCCTGGTGCTGCTTTACTTGGGACAAGCAGTAGGCCAGATGAAACTACTCTTGCTAGACTACGAAGTGGACATACTCGAGCTCAACGGCATGTGGATGGTCTTAAAGTTTACCCTCCTTGTCCGAAATGCAATGTGAACCAAGCCGCTCCTGCCCACATCTTTGCTTGTATTGGATGCCATAAGAGCCAGCTGTTCTCAAGTCCAACTACAGTTCTTGATTGCTTAAAAACTCACGGGTTCATGGACTTGATCTAGATGTTTCTGTCGTCAAGTGGGATAAGAAACAACAACACCTTTTCTTAAAGGAAAAAAAATTTTAAAAATTCGGTTTTAGTAGCAGAGGCAGTCTAGGGATTATTGACAAACCTTTAAATCACTCAGGGAAGCTTTGGGAAACAGGATGGGGCTCAAAATGTTGGGGTTCGCGATGACAGGTCGGTGCATAAAAGAGGGACGCGATATCAGGGCCGCCGCTTGGGGGTGGCAAAATGTTCACCGCACAAGGGCACCTGGGCCAGGGGGCGCCAAAGTTTATACTACTTATAGTTTTTAAATGTAATGTTATTTAACAAAAGTTGTTAATTATACACTTGCAATTTTGCATGTCTCATATTTTCTAAGCAATAAAATGAGATTTTTATTTTTATTTTATTTTATTTTTGTTTTTGTTCTGCGTGTTTCTTTCGTTTGTGTAAAACAAAATTTGATTGCCGATACGAAAAATAAAAACACGTTCCGTGTGGAGTTTGCGCTACCGCACGGAACGTGTCATCAAAACGTTTTCTGAAAAAATTACTAATTATTATAGTTCTTTTTTCATTAAAGTATTATGTGTAATTATTATGTGTACCTGAGTTGTTTTTAATATTCACACCTAAATTTCTCAAAATAAATTTTCCGCAGGAAAAAAATTGTTTTTAAATTTTCAGTTATATTAGTTTCTTTTTATCTGAATCTTTATTTAGTAGCAAATGACATAAATGGGCTTTCGACTTTCAAATAGTATATTAAGAGAAAATCATATCATAAATTTTGCATATGGAATGAAAATTAAACTTTTTTATTTAGTGCAAAAAGTATTTTTTTTTGGAAACATGTTTTCAAAAAAAGAAAAGAGTCTGTGGAGCACAAAGTAGAAAAAAGAAATTGCAACGAGAGGAAGCTAATCAGAAACTGGCGGGATCTCTAAATAAATATTTCAGAAGCACAATAGGATTAGCCGAACAAGCAACTGAACCAGGACCATTAACAGCAACATCTGGTTTGAAATTTCACAATGAAAATTTGTCTCATAATGTAAATTCATCAGAATATGATCTAGAAGAAGCCACGATTGTGTACCAATAGAAAGGTTAGATGTTGATATAGAAAATTCACCTGGTAATAACGTTATATCTCAAAACAAAGATTTTGGCTTTGAATTTAGCGATCCAGCTACCTGGCCTGATACAATTTCTATAAAAATTAGAGATTATTTAATTGAAAACGGCTCTTCCGGTTTGGTAACCAATTATTTTTTTAGAGATAATTCTGGCAGAAAGTTTTCAAAAAATCAGTCTATTATAGATCATTACCGAATGGAGAAAAAATATTTAGAAATAATTTAGTATATTCAAATTCTCGGAACGCAGTTTTTTTGCTTCTCATGTAAACTTGTCAGTGAAAAGCATTCACATCTTATTAAGGATGGAAGTAATGATTAGGCACATTTAATCCACATTTTGAAAACACATGAAAGCATTGCACTCAAACTTAAACGTAGTTCAAAATGCAGTGAAATGTTTTGCGTAATTTGTATTGATGCATCTCAACAAAGACTTTATAATGCAGAAAAGGTTTACTGGCAATCGTTATTGAACGGCTTATTTATTTCATTTAATATTTATCCCTGCAATGCCTTTACATTTAGAAGTCCTTCGAAAGAGTTGTATCATAGTGATATAATGGAATTTTTTGAAATTGGTTGAACCATAGCAAAATTTGATCCAATAATCGCTGAACATCTCCACAAAATTCAAACTTCTTAAAACAGGAACAGTGCTCATTGCTTAGGGGATGAAATTCAGAATGAAGTTATAAGCATTATTTCAGAAGGAATAAAAAGCATTTATTGCAAATAATTAAATCGTCAGAATATTACTCACTAATTCTGGATACTACACCTGATGGATACTATACTGAACACTTGACTGTTGTAATTCGATTTATATTTATAAGAACGAGGAAACTAATAAAGCCCAAATTGAAGAACATTTCTTAGGATTTTAATCTGTTGACGATACTACTGGATACTTCTGTTTGAATCCATAAAGGGGCATTTTAAATCGTTAGAACTAAATTTATCAGATTTACGAGGC